TGGTCGGATGGGCCCCATTCTTGCTTCGGTCGCTAGCCAGGACTCTCTTTGAACTGCCTTGCATCACAGTATGTGAGCATTTCGCGAGGTGCAAGGGAAGAGTGACCAGCCGCAACCCTAGACATCCACTCCCGACCATACTGAGGTTTTCGGAGGCGTGGCACAAAAGTAGAGCCGCAGCCATGAACCTCGGAACTCAAAACATAGTTCATGTGTTGGATGGGTCATTAACTGAACCGAGTTAGAGTCTGGGTCGTAGGAACAAATGCACCCTCAGGGTTGATCTATGGTATTTACCCGTTCGAAGCCAAAACAGCCTTGATCTCTCATAAAGTAGGGAACTATTTTATTCTACGTATATTAATGTTACTGTTTAGTTTGTGTTGCTGATCAATGAGTGTTTTTTGTTTTGTTATCAAGATTGGGTGGCAACATCGTCGTGTGGCTGACTTGATGCGAATGTATCCCAGACGTATTACTCTTCGTCTTCGAAAACGCCCTGCACACGCTACTGATTTTACAGGGTTTCCCGGGGGTGCTCGACGTCATCGAATCGTAATGGCGACCGGACCGCAAAACCCAGCTGCAGGAACATTATCCCAGCAACTAGCTCGTGGAGGTTATCTTTTCACACGAACTCCGAAACGTCGGGCTCCTTTGTCCGGAACGGTAATCATTGAACCATTGGCCAGCACTCAGGAATCGGCTTCGGAATCTGCATCCACACCCACAGGAAACGCGTTAAGTGGGGCAGATTGTTCAGATGTCTGCAATCCATCATCCGACGGTTCAATTTCAGTGAACGGACAATCCGGTACAGAAAGCACGGAGGCAGTGTCCCCGTCGACAAGAGTGGTTGAAACCAATTTGGAAGAGACGGCAGACGGCAATCTGTCTTCATCTCTGATTCGTTCACCATCAGTCACAACCACTTCTTCCTCGTCATCTTCCCGATGTGCTTCAGTGAGGCTGCCAAGTTCTATAAGAGGTTACATGCCTTCGAGTCCGCTGGATATGTCCTCCTTGGGTGACACAGACCTTATCTCGAGTGGCAATTCACCGAATATGATTGCCTGTAGCGTTGACGGGTCACAAACGGGCACAACAACGTCAACTACGACCGGTTCTTCAACCCCAAAAGATCATCAAAAACCTAACAGTTGTCATAGCAGCTTTCAACAGGGAGTTCTATTTCAACCAAATGTGCGAATGACCTCAAGCACTCCGTGCACCCCGCTTATGACGGCACGAATGCTGAAAAGTGACTCAGCTTCATCGAGGGACCGTCACGGACAAAACAGTGGTGGGGTTGGGTACGGTCCTACCAGTGGAGATTCGGCCGATGATTCGGAAGGTTTGCCCGAACGGCGTGCTAGAACAGAGGAAGCAGCGGTAGACAAGTAAGCAAGCCTGATCCCAAATTCCTTATTGCTCTCTTACCATAACAGAATATACTCCTTAGTTGAGATGAGGGGTTTTGAGTAACCGGCCCTGAGAAAGACCAGAAAACGATTCATTTAGGCGGGCACGACATTCGGAGTAATTTTTTTCGGGTATTCGAGGCTAGGCGACAGCAGTGGGAAGAAATGTTTTATTTCATCTGCTGCACTTCGTGTCACATTTAGTTTCCTATTGTAGCCACGCACTGACCGTCAGCGATGTAGCCTCGGGATAAAGGTTTCGGTTCGTAGCATTATGATTAACGGTTCGAATCCAGCCAGGAATACGATGATAAAGTCCACCACTTGGACGGGGCAGTCGTTCGATACTCTTTATCGACCGTTACACAATCATCGTCTTCATTCCGAATAACTTGGCCAATAACCTCGGCTGGGTTTACTACTAAGAGAGAAAAGCACGGAGAGTTCCCAATGGTGGAGAACATCGTACTTAAAAAGACAATCAAGCTGGCACAAAGGTTGGATCATAATGACCTCAAGGTTTCCAAAGGTTGGTTTCGCTCTTGGTCAGACAGATATGGTATTCAACCGTACAAAGTAGGAAACAAACAACTCATGTGCATTAGTTTATAGGTCTGTGGGGAAAGTTTAGCGGTACCACGTGATGCAGTGGACGAGTTTTGAGCGCGGTTACCGCAGTTGATACATGGATATGCTGACTGTGATATTTTAAATGTAGATGAAACAGCTTTGTACTGCAGGCAGCTCCCAGAAAGAACATTAAATCTGAATGAAAAGACAGCTTCTGGGTCCAATAAATCCAAAGAGAGGGTCACTTTACTGCTTTGTGGTGATTGAAAAGATTCAAACTCCACGATGCCTCCGAGGTATAGATGGAAAAGCATTCCATGCAGCTATAATTCTTCAAAGAACACATGGATGACTTCTACGTGATTTCACAATTGGCTGTCCGATCTCAACCGTAAAGTGGTTCCTTAAAGGCGCTCTATTTCACTATTTATGGACAATGTCCCTTGCCATAACCAAACCGCAGTATTCTCCAAAGTCATATTGGTACGGCTGCCTCCGAAATGCTCTTCACGATGAGGGGATACGCTCCTCCGTCCAAATACCGCGAAGTAGGCTAGTAATCGAATCGACCGAAGAACTGTCCACCAACTCATTAAAGCCTTTAATTTTGTCTAATGATCTATCACATTGTTATCATCATCATCGTACAGCGAAATACAGTGATAAGAATTTCACTGATCACTGCCAAACTCGCAATGCATATAAGGTTAGTGTTAATATTCAAAGTGGACCGGGATTGGACCTACTGGGAGGGAGGGAGAAGACGGTGGACCTATATGGTCAACATACAGAGTACAGCATCGAAATCTGCATACATACCGTTTCAAGCATTCTAGTTTGATAAGAAATGACAACAATAACGTCCCTATAGTCGGTTTGCTGCCATATCCTTTAATGTCTCCAACCAACCAGTTGTGGATTTTTCCGGACCCCTAACCCGGTGGATGCATCATGGATGAAGTGTCAGCTTACATACAGAAGGCACGGTTGCTATTTGCCAACTTCAGACATCTGTCGCGCCGTCGCGACATTCGGCTGTCTGTGAGTGATCGAGTGTATACTGCGGCAGTTCGGTTAGGTCTGCTGTATGGAGCAGAAACTTGGTCATCAGTGTTTGAACATCGCTGTCTACGCAGCATTGCACGAATCTGGTTGGGCAGCCGGACGAGTGATGCTGAGGTCAGGCGAAAAGTTTTAGGCAACCGCGGTCGCCCACTGGAGCAAGTGGTCGACCTCCACAGATCAAGTTGGTTGGGGCATGTATTACGCATGTCACCAGATAGGTTGCCGTGGCGAGCGATGTTCGCAAAAGCAGACGCCGAGTGGAAAAAAGCCAAGGTTGGTCAAGTTAAGACCTGGCACGAGAGTATGAAAACCCTAACCAGGAGACTGGGTCACATAGGTTCTGTTAGGCTCCCTGGCTGGGGACCTCGGGATGATCGTAACCGATGGTTAGAGACACTGAGTGATATGGCTGGGTGTCGTAAACAGTGGCGTTCGTGCATCTCAATTTCTTTGCAACCTTAGACCACTGAACTTCTCCATTTTCTTTTCGAATCCACTTTCAACTTTCCTTTCTTCTCTTATTCTTCATCCAAATGTGCAACCAAAAGACAGCAATCAAAACCAGCGCACGAATATGCGTGGTTAATGGTTGTACAAACTGAACTGAACTGAACTTTTCCTGAAGGGTTCATTTCAATATTGATATCAATTTTACGATCCCTTTACACTAACAACCAAAGCAGAGTCCGAGCTTAAGGCACTATTAGTCTGAGCTTACCACAGAAAATGGAATTTATCAGTGTTACTTTCTCTCTCTCCTTTTTTATTTAACTTCGTTATAGATTGGATTATGGAAACAGCCTTATCCTCGTACCAGGATAGTGGCATCGATTTGCTCCCAGGTGGTAGACTGTTTGATCTGGAGTATGCAGACGGTATTGTAATTCTAAGTGAAGATCCAGCTAAATTGCAAGCCTTTTTGGACAGTTTTCTACGTACTTATAAGGAAACACGTACTCATCACCCTCACCAACACTCGCGGACTTAACCGCAATATTGATTCTGTACATCATTTTCTCCATTCTTCTTCTCCGCTTATCCTTTTTTGACCGAAACACAAATTTCCTCTCGTCAGACACCACCCACCTTCAATTCCCTAACTATACTCTTCATTCCTCCTTTCTACCCAAAGCTGGTGTCTGCGCCTTTATTCGCCAATCAGTCGCCGTCTCCGGGATCTCAAATCTTGACTTTTCCAATCGTGAATTTCAGCTGATGTGGCTGAAACTGCGACTCCCTTCCTTCAATCATTACTTTTGTGTTCTATATCGTTCCACCAGTAGTGGCGACTCTTCCATCTTTGATTTTCTATCTTCGAACATTGAATATTTGTTTGCAACCGACCCCAACTGCTATGTCATCATCTTGGGAAACTTTAACGTTCACAATCAGGACTAGCTGACACATTCATCTGCTACTTCTCCTTTGGGGCACGAAGCCGAACACTTCGCTTTGGTCGGCAACCTGAGCCAACTAGTTGACTTCCCCACACGTGTCCCTGATCGAGCTGGCGATTGTGCCCACACCCTGGACCTAATTCTCACTTCGGTCCAGTCTTTCTTTTCAGCTATTGGTACCCTCTCTCATCTTGGCTCATCAAGTCACTGTATTGCTTCTTGTTCCATTAAGTTTTCAAACCCCGAGCCACCACCCACCTCGAGACACAAATTCTGGAGCTATAAGTCAGCCAACTGGGACGGTTTCCGTGATTTCCTAGCTGCTTATCCCTGGAACGATTGTGGTTTCTCTTCGGATGTTTCCCATTTCACCCATATTGTTCTCCAAGGTATGCATCTTTTTATTCCGCACTTTTCAAAACCCGGCGAACCCAAATCCCCTGAGTGGTTTAACCACGCATGTGGCCGTGCTGTACGCCTGAAACGTTCAGCCTTCCGTTACTGTCCCCCCCCTCTCCCACCATCACTTCGTGCAAGCTATGAAAAGATGCTGGACGACTATTT